AAAACCCCAAAACCCCAAAACCCCAAAACCCCAAAACCCCAAAACCCCATATTCATGAATATTTGAAAATAAGTTTGAACTAGATTATAAGATATTTAATGCTAAAAATACTATAAGTTATCATGAGGGATCCTATTAAATAATAATATTAATATTGGAATTTTGAGTAGCCTCAACTACCTTCTTATCCGAAATGAAAAGATCTTCTAAGTTTAAGTGCTGTGGTATAGCATCCATAGTAATCGGTCTCATCCTTATTGGAGTCGGAATCGGCTGGCCCTTCATTATTGACTCATTGGTGAAGTCTCAATCCAAAGACTAAGCTGCCTTGGGAAAGGATAATATGGACAAATGGAAGGATATCCCAGGAAAATATGACATTCAACTTAACAGGAAAACATATCTCTATAATGCCATTAACAGAGAAGATGTAAGTAAAATTAACCTTAAAATACTCTTAATAGGTTATCTTCAAAGGTGAGGTCCCCACTGTTGAAGAGTATGGACCATTCATTTACAGAGAATACGATAATTACTCAACCCCTGAAAAATGGGATGAAAAGATCACCGTGCCAGGTAAGGACAAAACCAAGAATGCAATTAGAATGACATTCAACCAATATGCATAATACAATTTTGGGGGAGATTACGGAAAAGCATAGGACCAAGACATCGACAAGAAAATCTGGCAAATCAACTAAGCCGCTCTCGGAGTGTGGTTTGCTGCAAACCATCCACCCGCTTGGAGACTAGGACTTAACCTACTTTACTCAGTTGTTTTGGACGGGCTTGGAAGACAAGTGCTGGACTAAGGATCCTGGACTTTCTTAAATAAGGTTGTTGGCAATTAAGATGGCATTCAGTCTAATCTTTTCAATGACAAGATCACTCCGGAATAAGCAAAATAGATTTTAACTGATCCAGACTTTGGTCTTAATAATGTCAACAACTACATCAGATGGGCTCCAATGACCGATGGATCAGATCCATTGTAATTCCAATTAATGGTTTCAGAATTAAAAGCAAGATTCGGTCTCACCTATGAAGCAATTCAAAGTGCCATACCCAAATGGAATGGACTCATCCTTTTCGGAAAAGGCTATGTAATCTCCTAGAGTTCAGTAAACAATGAAAATAATCAGGGAATTGCCTATGTTCAATGGGCTAATTCCATGGTTACAGGTAACCTCAGTAAGCCAATAAGTTTCGATTCAGTTACATAGCAAACTGACACAGTTACTGGATACCCAGAAATCTCTTTCTTTTAGGTGAATAAACTTTACCCAAATCTGAAGCAAGACAAGCTTTATTAGAGATTTAAGGATGTTAAACTATTTGTAGGATTTAGTGCAAAGGATAAGCCTCTAAATTACGAATATTTATTCCAACTTATTGATGATCAAGGCAATGAGCCTCCCTCAAAATCCTTATTTAACATGGATACTATAAAAGCTTTATACAACGTTCCATTCGTAGATATCTTAGATGAAAAGAAACCTTAGCCTGAGGATATTGATCTTACAGGCTATTAAGATGTTGCTACTCTACTAGGTCTCAGCGTTGAGCAAACTTATTTGATAAGACTATGGCTAGAATACGTAAAGCAAACTACTTTCCAAAGGAGTCAAGCAACAACAGAGATTGCCATTATTTCCCAATTGACTTCATAATAGATGCAATAAACCATTTCAACTATGGAATAAGAAGTTCCACTTATTGTTTATACTGAATAATTAGCATCTATTGTAGATGTTTAAAAAGTTGGATGCCTAAAATTCTATAGCGATGAGTTTAAATTCAGCACTGACTTGCAATAAAATCTTTGCAGCGGCGGAAAACTTGGCATAAAGACCTTTGATTTCAGTGATGTAAGAGTAACCAGCAAGGCATGGATGAGCATCCTACTACATAATAATACACTAGATGCCTCGGATTATGCAGACCTTCTCTTTTTGAGCAGTATGTCAACCGATGACCTGAATAATCTATTGTTTTTGTCTACTTCTACCATCCAAACATATTTAACTAAGAATGTTTTCGGACCAGTTTATGCAAAGCATAAGGATACTGTCTGCACAGTGAGCTAATTCCAAATGTGTACTCCTAAAGAACTAGCATACTAGTAATGGCTTGATCTAAGCATCCTCTCATAGCCAGACGCTACAACACCTGAATCATACGTCAATCAGTTCCCAGCTGATACAAAGTTGAAACTTGCTCCTGAGCTTGGTTACTTCTTATATAAGGCAGGACTTGATAAAGTTTCAATAACTCTTGGAAATGTTGTAACATTCATGTAACTCAACAGGCTGTATAACCTCGAGATCATAGGTGATATTTTGCTCAATGTCAAATCAGACTATATTGATGTATTCACAAATGAGCAGATTAGAAGATATATTAGATACATCATGGTTGAAGGTGCACTTGGAGGATTATTCTAATACAGAACTCCAAGAGAATATCTCGAAGGATTTATAGATCCAACTGTTTATCAAACAGCTTAATTGCCAGTCTGGAATGGTGGAGATCAGACAAATGACCCATTCATGTCTATCAACTACTCTCCAACTTCTCCTAAAGACAATCCCATTGTCTTCTTCTCTGGAACTGACGACTACTTGTACACTCGTTCATTCGGTTTATGGCTAGATTTACCGTACATTACAATGAAACGCAAGGACTACACTTCTCTTTTCAATCTTGAAGCTGTCTATGCTGATCCTTGGATCCAAGCTGATGGAACTGGTGGAAAAGAGTATCTTGAGGGTACTGATGGTTTCTAATTCCACCCAGACCTTTAATCTGACGATAGACTCTGGGTGTGGGTTAATGACCTCGGTAGAAATGGATATTTCGATTACTACAGCGATGATACTGATGCCTATGATGGACTTAAGATGATGACTTACCAGATATCACCAGATTTGATGAAAAAGGCAAATAAGGACAATAAGAAATTCGGCACCTTCCTTGATGGAACTTCTCCAATGTTTACAATCCTCCAAGCTCCTGTTCTTGCTTCCAAAGGCCATTTCTATCAGATTGATACCATTGCAGCTGATAGTGTTGCTCAAATCGTGACAAAGGGTGATCGCAAACCAATTTTGCCAATTCAATCTGAAGACGATACCTTCCTTGGCATGGAACAACACTCAGGTGTCAATGTTCAAGCCAGACAGAGACTTTAACTTAATTTCTATATCGCAAAGGACAATCTCTTCAATTATATTAAGCCAGACAGTTTCATAATTACTCCCCTCACTTATGTAAAGAGAGAATCTATCATGACTAAATCTCAAGTTAAAGATATTCTTGGTGATCTCTATGTTGCAAGAACAGCAAGAACTGCAGGTTTAGCAACACTTCTCTCAATTGGAGTAATTCTATTGGGACTTTCGATCTTCATGTTCTGCAGATTCAGAAAGGTCAAGAAGGAGGAAGAGTATGGAATCTTCGATACCAAGAAAAATCAAAAGCAAATCAACTAATCATCAGATGGAACCCTTTTGGGAGGTGACTCAATTACTAAATCATGATTAGAAGGAAAATCTTAAATATTATTCATATGATCTTAAACATAATTTCATAAACACTTACCCCCATACTTATTTCATATTAAACCAAGGGGTTTTGGGGTTTTGGGG